TGTGGGGGGTTGGGGTAAAAAAAAAAAAAAATATTATGCAGAAAATTCGGAGTGTGGAAAATTATGAAAGGTTGGAAGTTCATAAAATAATGACAGAGGGCAGAAGAGGTAGTATGAGGTAGGTTTGGTCAATTAGAGAGAATGATCACAGAAGAAGACATGAAAGCATATCAATCTTATAGGGAAGAAGGCGGGGTAGGGGACGTCCTCGAAAAGGGTTGAGAGAGGGGGTAAGGAGGTTTTTGTGGGTAAGGGGCTTGACATCCAGCAAGCGTGCGTGAGCGTGTTAGATAGGAGTGAATGGAGACGAAAGTACTTGGGACCTGACCGATCTGTATGGAGTGTGAGCAGGGTATATTTAGTGAAGGGATTCAGGGAAACCGTTAATTTCATATAATCGGACTTGAGTCCTGGAAATGAAGTACAATGCCGCACTTTAAAAGGGAGGGGTTTGGGATATTGGCATTTGGAGGATAGTTTGTATTTATATGTGTATGCCTTCTAGACTGTTTATCTGATCACTTTGGCAAAAAACAGAGATAATGATAGCGAGTTTGTGAAAGTGCTGAATGATGATGAAAGTAATTTTCTTTTTGGGGATATTTCTTCTTTTTTGGGTCACCCTGCCGGTGGGAACGCCGACTGTGAAAAAAAAAAAAAAAAAAAAAAAAAAAAAAAAAGTAATAATAATAATAATAATAAATAATAATAATATTAATATAATATAATAATATAATTAGAGCAAAGGAAGGTAGCAGTAATGTTAAAGATCAGTTTTTTGGAAAAGAAAAGAGAATATGAAATGTGTATAATTCAAGAATTATGTGGATTAAAGTAAAGGTTGGATGCGAGAAGTGGGTCCTAATAAGCGTGTAATGCACCTGGAGAAAGAAGGAATGCAGATGGAGAGAGAGAGATTTTGGGAGATGTTAAAGTGAATGAAAAGGAAGCTTTGAACCAACTGAGAGAGTAATTGTGGAAGGGGACCTGATGCAAAAGTATGAGACACTTTTAGAGAGGGTGTGGTAGTAAGTTTGTGGTGCCATGTGTATAATGAAAATGGAGCCCTTTGATATAACTTGTATAGAAAGGGGATTAGTTATAGTAATACATATATTTAAGAAAAAGAGATAAAATAAGTTATACAAGATATGATGTAGGGCGAAATGACAGGTAGTTTGTTGGATGATGTATTGGTAGATAAAAGACTGTTGAGTAGACTTCAGGATGTACATGTTTATAGAGGGGCAACAGATATATCAGATCACTTTCTAGTTGTAGCTACACTAGATAAAAGGGTAGATGGGATACAAGGAGAATAGAAGCATCAGAGAAGAAGAGAGGTGAATGGTTTATAAACTAAAAGAGAGGCAGTTAGGGTAAGATATAAACACTATGGAGGATAGATGGTCTAATTAGAGCATAGGCAATGGGTCGAAGAGTATGGGTAGTTTAAAAATGTAGTGTTAAGAGTTTCAGCAAAGTTTGTGGTTACAGGAAAGTGGGGTGCAGGAGGAAGAGGAGCGATAGGTGAATGATGATGTAAAGAGAGTAGTAAAGGAGAAAAAGTTAGCATATAGAATTTTTTACAAAGTAGAAGTGATGCAAGGATGGAAGAGTATAAGGAGAAAAAGAGAGGTTAGAGAGTGTTAAGCAATGGAAAAAGAGAGCAAATGAGAGAGTGGGTGGGAGATGTTTATCAACAAATTTTGTTGAAAATAAGAAAAAGGTTTTGGAGATGCGAGAAAAGCAAGTTAAGGAAAGCCTAGAGAACAAATGGATTTGTCAGTTAAAAATAGGAGAGGAGAAGATATTAAATGGAGAGTTAGAGAATTGGGAAGATGGAGGGAATATTTTGAGAATTGTTAAATGTTTGAATGAGATAGGGAAGCTGTGATTTTCGTGTAGAGGGCAAGGAGTAATAACATCATGTAGGAGTGAGGAAGAGCCCGTTGTGAGTGTGGGGGAAGTTCGTGAGGCATAGGTAAAATGAGAAAGGGGGTAAGGCAGCCGTATTGATGGGATAAAAAAGATAGAAATGTTAAAAGCAGGTGGGATATAGTTTTGGATGGTTGGGTGCAATAGATTTAATAAATGTATGTAAGAGGGTACAGGACCTAGATTGGCATAGACATGCATAGTTCCTTTGGTATAAAGGCAAAGGATAAAAGAGAGTGCAAAAAATATAGGGGGATAAGTCTGTTGAGTGTACCTGTAACGTGTATGGTAGAGTTATAATTGAAAGAATTAAGAGTAAGACGGAGAAAAGGATATCAGATAACAAGGAGGCTTTTAGGGAAAGAGTAGGGGGTGTGGACCAGGTTTTAACAGTGCAACATGTAAGTGAACAAGTATTTAGATAAGGCTAAAGAGGACTTTGTGGCATTTATGGAATTTGGAAAAGTCTAAGACAGGGTGGATAGGGGGGCAATGTGGCAGATGTTGCAATTTATGGTGTAGGAGGTTGGTTACTGAAAGCAGTGAAGAGTTTTTACGAGGATAGAGAGGCTCAAGTAGAGTAGTAGAAAGAGGAAATTTTTTCCCAGTAAAGTAGGTCCTTAGCCAAGGATGTGTGATGATCACCGTGTTGTTTAATATTTTTATAATGGGGTTGTAAGAGAATTAGATGGCGAGGGTCTTGGCAGAAGGCAATGGAGTTCAAAGATATAGAAACACACACAAAGTGGGAGTTTTGTCACAGCTGCTCTTTGAGCTGATGCCACTGTGCTGCTGGGAGATTCTGAAGAGAAGTTGCAGAGATGGTGGAAGAATTTGTAGGGTGTGCAAATGAAGAAAATTAAAGGTGAATACAGACAGAGTAAGGTTTATGAGGATAACAAAAGATTAGGTGATGAAAGATTAATATCAGATTGGGAGGAGAGAGTCATGGAGGAGTTATGTATTCAGATAATTTTGGGAGTGGACGTGTCAGCGGATGGTCTATGAAAGATGAGGTGAATCATAGAATTGATGAGGGAAAAAGAGTAGTGGAGCACTTAGGAGTCTGTGGAGACAAAAACATTGTCCTTGAGGCAAAGAGGGGAATGTATGAGAGTATATTTTACAAACGCTCTTATATGGTGTGAAGCGTGGTGAATGAATTTGTAGCGAGGAGAAGGCTGGAGGCAGTGGAGATGTCATGTCCTGAGGGCAATGTGTGGTGTGAATATAAATGCCAGAGAATTCGTAGTTTGGAAGTTAGGAAGAGGTGCGGGATATACCAAAACTGTTGTCCAGAGCTGAGGAAGGTTGTTGAGGTGGTTCGGACATGTAAGAGAATGGAGCGAAACAGAATGACTTCAAGAGTGTTAACAGTCCTGTAGTGGAAGGAATGGCGGTGTATGGGATCGGCCCTAGGAAAGGTTGGAGGGGGAGGGGTAAAGGAGGTTTTGTTGCGAGGGGCTTGGACTTCCAGCAGGCATGCATGAGCGTGGTTGATAGGAGTGAATGGAGACAAATGGGATTTTTAATACTGACGTGGCTGTTGGAGTGTGAGCAAAGTAACATTATACGGGATTCAGGGAAACCGCAGGCCGACTTGGAGTCCTGGAGATGGGAATACAGTGGCCTGCACACTGAAGGAGGGGTGTTAATGTGCAGTTTAAAAACTGTAGTGTAAAGCACCCTTCTGGCAAGACAGTGAGTGGAGAGAATGAATGTGAAAGTTTTTCTTTTTCGGGCCACCTGACTTGGTGGGAATCGCCAGTGTGATAATAATAAAAAAAATAATAATAATAATAACAATAAAAATAATAATAATAAATATGAGTATAAATAGAAGAAGGAAATTGTAACAAAAAATCGAAGGAGTGGTTGACACATCGTCAGTGTGACTTTGTTTAATGCGTGAGTAGCATTAGTCTCCCTGCTCTTTCCAAACATTTCACAATAATTCATTGTGTTTGGTGGCTTGTAAGATGAGTGTGACTGGAGTGGTAAGGCAGTGATAGGGCAATGGATTTAATAACATACATGTTAAAAATAATACATTTTATTAACTAAACTGTACTATTATTATTTATAACAGATGTTATTAAATACATACATGTAATAAAAATACAGGTTAATAATAATACATGTTATTAAAAATACTATGTACTATTATTATTTATAACATATATGTATTCAATAACCACTGCCTCACTGCTGAGTTATTGTGAAATTTTGGAAATCAGGGAGACTAATGTTCACTCCAGCATAAACAAAAGTCACACGGAGACGTGTTCACCACACCCTCTATTTTGTACAATTTCCTTCTTCAATTATATCGTATTTATTATTATTATTATTACTATTGTTATTATTAGCAATAGCAGAAATGTTCGATTCTTTGCAGTGTTCAAGAGTAAACACATGATGTCACCGTCTAATACCTGTCCGAATAGCCATTCCAATATGCAGTCATGAATGGGTTTACATTATTTATACTGTAGTTTAATAGCAAATAATGAACAAACAAAACACTCACCACACTGAGTGGTGGGAGGGCTGGCTGGCAGTTGTGGGGGTCGGAGGGAGGGTAGTAGGGACTCACATTGGTGGAGGCAGTGGTGGAGTCAAGATAAGATTTCGTTTGGATTTTTAACCCCGGAGGGTTAGCCACCCAGGATAACCCAAGAAAGTCAGTGCGTCATCGAGGACTGTCTAACTTATTTCCATTGGGGTCCTTAATCTTGTCCCCCAGGATGCGACCCACACCAGTCGACTAACATACAAGTTATTAACACACATGTTATTAAATAACATACGTTATTAAAGCATAACATGTATATATTTAGTACAATTTACAACGTTTTCATGATTATTCATGGTTCAACAAGTTAAGGAAGCAGTATTGTAATATATTTCCCTACAATATATTGGGGCACCAAGCATTCACGGTTTTTCAACATTCGCGAGGCTCTTGATCCCCTAACCCTCGCGAAAGTTGAGGGAGACCTGTATATAACATGGCAAATATCCAGTTATATCTATGTCATTAGATTAAGCATGTTACTTACCACAATTGCCTTGTCTGCAGATTCCTTAGTAGAATATTTTGCATAACCAAATGTTTTGCCATTTAACATGTAGATATCAATGAGGTTTCCAAATCTTCCAAAAACATCTTTCAGAGCATAAATGGGAGGTGGTGAAGGATGGCATACAATAAACAATCTGAAAAAATAAAATACACAGCTTGAGTTGAAATTTATTCTGGCTCAGAATAAGAACATAAGAAAGGAGGAACACTGCAGCAGGCCTGTTGGCCCATACTAGGCAGGTTCTTTACAATTCATTCCACTAACAAAACATTTGCCCAACCCAATTTTCTATGCTACCCAAGAAATAAGCTCTGATGTGCAAGTCCCACTCAAATCCAACCCCTCCCACTCATAAGAACATAAGAATGGAGGAACATTGCAGGAGGTTCTCTGGCTTACGAAAACTATTCACGAGTAGATTGTTTGGAACTTGGAACTTATTATTTCACTGACACACATGCAATAATCAGAGATGCATTTCATTTACTCTCATGGCTTGACCTGGGGTCAGGCCTCACAGTTGAGTGTTTGTCACCTAGGCTTTTGTTGTTGGCCTGCCAGTCCACACACATCACAGCCTAACTGATCTGGAACACAGCATATTGATCCTGCTCTTGAGTATTTCCACTTATTCTGACAATATCTGATATAAGCTGGTAGCAGGATAAATAGCTGACCTCTACAGATGTTGACACATTGTACTCTAATTGTGGTCATCAACCCGTAAACGGCCAAACGTATATAAAAGTTCACTACCCCAGTGCCTTGAATATTTTGAAAAATAAGATTTTTTTTTTTTTAATGAAAACAAAGAGAACATTTTTCTAAGTGTCATAGGATAAAAAAATTAGGGTCAGTACTTACAGAGACATGAGGCTGAGAAGTTGGCACTGGATGCTCATGTGACAAAACATTGAGTCCTGCTGCTTCCAGAAGTGTTGCCCATATACCTTTTTTTCTATTTTTCATATTATTTTATATAATTTTTGTTCTGATAATTACAATTTATAGTAGTTCTTGTCGTTTCATAACCAATCTTTGTTCTGACACTAGCATTAGGTACTGAAATTGTCACAAACACACTGACAGGTGGACATTTAAACC